AAATGCTACAGAAAGTGTGGCAGTCTATGAGGAGAGATTCAGGAAAACCTGGATAGAGTATGCCAACATAATCTGTGCTAAAGACAACCTGGATGAGGAGACATGTCCATCGTGAAGTGCTACTTCCTCTGTGGATTGAGAAAGGACGTCGCAGACACTCTTAAAAGCAAGTTGGAATGGACAGCGGAGATTGAACAAGACCAAGGTGCTAAACTGACGGCCTCTCAACTGCAAATGTATGGTGTGAAGCAACACAAAGATGCCTCCAAGACAGAGAAAAAGTGCCATTACTGTGGAAAAGCAGGTCACTTTGTAAGGGTGTGTCGGCCAAAAGATGGCCAAAGATTAAGCATCTGCTGACCTTGCAACGGTGCAACAACTAACCCAGCAACAACGACAAACCCTCTTATCCTCATTTCCACAAGACATCAAGCAGAAGCAACGTGAAGCTCCAAAAGAAGAAATTTAGAGCTGGAGATGAAGCAAAAGTTCATGCCAACGGCCTTTGGCGTCATGGAACACGCTTGGTGGCACCTAAAAGCCTGCCATCTAGTCCCTCAAATCCATTCACTTGGACACCTGAGTGAGGACGAAATGACCAAATGGTTCAACCAAGGGTGGTGGAACCCCAAGTTCAGTGCACAAGCATGTTGTGTGCTTCATAGCTGTGCAACTTGTGAATAAAACATGGCTGCCCTTCTCCCCCCATCACTCACTCAGCGCGATGCTGGTCAGCGCAGGCGTCTGTTAGCTGACGTAACAGATCTGGCGGTGGGCGCTTTCCTCCGAGCGCGTTCAGCTGTCCAGTGACGTTGCGTGAGCGGCAGCTCGAAAAGAAAGCGGTGGCTGACTTCCCAGGTCTGGGAGGAAGCCTGTGTTAGCTTTCACCCTCCTAGCATTGATAACATCGTGTGATTTCGGGAGTCCTAACCAGCGGGGTGGAATTTGCTACGACTAAATTGGGGAGAAAATCGGGGTAAAATTAAAAAAAAACAAAAAAAAACTTGTGAATAAAACAACCCTGGCTTAAAGGAATACTCCAGTTGCTTCAGCATCTGCCCTCTGGCTACAATTAAAAGTATTATCAAGCCAACTTAAGTTCTTTTACTAATTACAGGTAAAAGCATTGAAATTATTGTCTATGGTAACTGACTGGTAGATAGCAATATAGGTTGAAAAACACTGGAGTACTCCTTTAAATTATTTTAATTACCCTGCTAAAACATGTCTGATTCAACTCACCAGTTAAAGGGCCAATATAACAAAAAAATGAATTTTCCTTACTGTTTTTTTAAATAAGACTGTTAAACATTCACTCCCCAGTTCGTACAGTCCATATATGGAAACTAAACTACAAAACAGCTCAGTTTAAATTTATGGTGTTTGTGATGTCACAAAAAACAACACATTTACATATACCTGCCTGCAGCAGGTTAGCTCCGCCCATTCATGTTGAAGTTATAAGGAGTGCTTCAGTCCGGCCTGCTTACTAAATGAGGGATAAAGAGGTTAGAAAATGCTTTCAAAACATAACATCACACAAATGTAATCAGTGGACCTAACTATGAAAAAATAAAGATAATGAAAAAGAAAAAGAAAAAGAAAGGATAGGTTACTGTCATTTCAGTAGAAGGTGAACTCTTTAGGAGAGATAAACTTGTGACAAGTGAACAGGTAAGAAACTTTGAACAAAACAGCAACTGAAAAACGCTCTGGGAAATTATTAGACATTTGAACTGGAGATATGAATATCTTCTCAAAATTGGTGGATTGATTAGTTAGCCTTCCTAGCAGAGGAAAATGAATTGTGGACTTCATTATCCTTCCTGATTCTTATGATTGTAGTAATGCATATTATCTTCTACCTGCAACTAAGACACTGGTGACGGTTCGATATGTTAAAGCTGCACTATGTAAGTTTTTGAGGATTTGGAGACCTCTCTGGTAGGAATGTGTAACAGCATGCAACAAGCAGTTGAACATTTTGTAATGTGGGTTGTGCTTCAGACCCCTTCCCCAAGCCGATGAATATGATGACTGCGATTGTGTTGAAATAGAATTCAAAGAGAACTCAGTCAAAATGTTGTAAAGGATGTCTCTTCTGAGAATGTGAGTGAATTATCTACTATTGTCATCATATCTTGAGTAATATAATGTTGAATTTGTATTTAAGACCTGAACATTGAGTCAGACCTTCTTTTTGAGCCTGTAAAATGTAAACACTTATAACGTGGCCCAACAATTGCCTGCATAATCTGACTCAACGCCTTTTCAATTATTTACGCTTTACAGGGCGACTCTCAGCAGCGCAGGCACACCATATTTTAGGGTGTTTTTTCCTACTGACTCAGTAATGCTTATTTTCTCAATTTAAACAAAAAACCTACATAGTGCAGCTTTAAAAATTCCAAAAATTCTAATTTGCTCTGAAAACCTACTAAGCTCTAGTGATCTATGTCTCATTTTATCTTATCATTTATTTCACCTATCTTTATTTCATGTTCTATAGGTACTCATCCAATACACAGAGTAGCAGAACCTTGGTCACCAGAAAACTAGAGCTGTGTTTTTTCCATTGACCATTGGTCCAGTACCGAAGGTTTCAGTTTTGTTGCGCAAGACTGGTACCAACAGGGCCTAGTGGTATGTGAGGGTTTTGTTCTCTGTCTTTGCTAATGTTTGCACCTGAAGCTAACGACAATTCAGTGATTTTCTTACTCTTACTCTACATTCTTACTAAACTGTCACTGGGACAGTACCCCTTTTGTCGCTGGGGTGGTACCAACAAGGGTACATCTCAGTACCTTTAGTCAGGGAACATACTTGTTCCATAATCTATTAAAATGATATTTTCTAAGTAAGTAAAAATTGAAAGATACTGGAATGTTTTTTTGGGAAGTACATCCTTTTACTTTCCAAAATTAAGGGAAGGACTTGCACAAATGCTTAGAAATAAGTGCTGTTTTTTGTTTTTAGCCGTTCAGCTCAATTCACCCCCATTCATTGAGGACTCGTTCACAGGCACCATCTAGCATTTTGCAGTGATGTTTTTGATATAATGTAAGAAATAGGAAGTTGCCAGGCTCCTCTTAAATCGGCTCCAACTTTATGTCGTCATCACAACTAAGTGTTTGCGTTAAACTACAAGCAAGACAATTAATGTGTCAGTTCACTCAAAAAAATCTAGACCCTACACAATTCTGTATGTGCATGTGCACAGAACAGTGCAGTATGTCATATCATATCCACCATTAAGTTAACTAGCAAGAAACACAGCTAAGTAGCCTATTCAGACTCTTTAGAGTGATTATTCTGACAGTTCCAGTGGTCTCTGGAACCGTAAGTTCCTGTTGTTTCCTCTTTAAGTCCATTCTTGTTTCTGATTGCACAGTGGTAAAAATACCCTAATTGATTTCTACTTTCTTTATTCAGTTTAAACAGTTCGGTTATGATGGTAACTGCTTGTTGCATAGTGCCTTCCAGAGTTATTAGAACTCAGAATATTTTAAGCTTAGCTAAGAAAAGTTATTGTCATTTATGGTATGATTTACAAGTTTGGAATCACTTGCCTTATAAACAGTTTTTGTTGTACACAATCATAACTCACACAGTGTGCATTTAATGATTGCAAACTATTCACCAAAAAGTCCTTTTAGATGTTTTGTTCAACAATTCAAGAATTTAAGAAGAAATTAAATGATAAATAATATACTGTATGACCTGCCTTAAGATTTGATCTCTACTTTTGAAGTATGATGAATGAAATATAGACGCTAATTTAACACTCTTGATGTTGTCCAGCTTTCTCGGTCATTTTAGAATGTTCTACAGCTCTGGTAATCATTCTGGACACATCCAATGCTTCATTTTTATTTACTGCTTCCTGGTGGCCTACCAATTATTTGGAATCTGTTAAATTGTACAGGACAAACTGACAGAGATTTTGAATAAATATTCCCTTAATCAGTAATCAAATAGATTAGATGTTGTAATCAATAACCAAATAGGAAGTATTGCCTAACAGAGAATATGAATTCTTTCAAAAAGGGTAGGCCTTAGTCTGTCTGCATAGGAGATTCTAGACACTGGAAAGCAGCTGGGTTCACAGAGAGGCCTGTGTGTACCTACTGACCCAGTGAAAAAAGGGGCAAGTTGACCTTGAAAGGTAGAGCAGGCTGGTAAAAACCTGTTGAAGCCAGTTTTGAGGAGTGAGCTCATCATGCGATGGCCAAATTGATGGACGAAGAGATGCACCTATTAGAGAATGAGCTAATATCAAAATTTGAGAAGTAAGGCAGGGGGATATCAAATTACCCCAGATAAATGGTATATACACTGTTGTTTGGAACACTGTATTTGCGCAGTTGGGGTCTCTCGAGACCCTGTGCCACCTGAAATAAATAAGCCTTTTTCTCCCTTCCACAAGAACTCAGCGGCTGAAGTCTGTTATTCTACTTTCTTTTATTTTTTATTGAATACCCTTTTTATTTTTTGTAAGTGATTAAGACAATAATCACAACACAAGACAACAAAACCACAGCACAGAATAGTTTAGATTTTAAAAACCATCATATGCCGGGGCTTTGGGCAAGGAAGAAAATAGCTCTTGGTCCCGACCCAACATATTAGAATCATTTTAAGACACTTGTCTGCAAACAATTTGGGTTTAGACTATTAAAAAAACAGTGATTCCAAGCTTTTAAATGGTAGTCTTTTATTTATCCTTTATCATCTAATCACAGCTTATCGGAAAATTAAGTTTATGTGATTATTTTCTTTTATTCGAGATTCTGGTACCTCTCCATGCTGTATACTGTCTTACTGTATACAGAATGAGGGTTTGACTTACTGACTTTTACTTTGCATGTGGAGAGGAATGAGATCTGTAACATCTGAACTTTCAGAAGCAGAAGTAATAAACTTCCTCCAAAGTGCGTTGATTTTGTCTAGTTTATTATTTTCACAGTGAAACTGGCATTGCCACATTTTGGATCAGCAAAACAGAGTGAAGTGTGCATACTTTGAGTGCCTCAATATCCTTATTTTCAATTATGTGAACATATGGAATAAACTGAGTGAGAAAAAAACAGTATGAGTTGCAAACCACACAACTTTTCTTCATTCTTCCACTTTGGATCAGGTCAACAGCAGATGACTAATCTTCTGAGATGTTCCTGAGAAAATAATCAGCCTGCAACAGTTGAACAATTACAGATTAATGTATAACAACAGATAAATAAGAACAAAAGAAACCAACGAGAAAAGGAGAAAAGATTAAGGAAAAATGAAACAAGTACCAGAAAGTCGACAGGATCCTCAGGTTTAGCCTTGCAGCACTCTAGCAGCCCCTGGGTGAGTGTTGGTATGACGTACTTCATCAGGTAGTGCCTCATGGGTATAGAGCGAGTCTCCAGCAGCTCATGCTCCTGCTTCTTCACCTCCTTCACATTCTTGTTCTGGAGGAACACATAGCTTCAGCCACTGCAGTATGAAATACATATGATAAAACAGCACATCTAAAACTAATTTAAGTGATATTTTTAGAACACTTTTTTCTTCTACTGTGTAGCTAGCCTTTATTGCTAGATAATAACAAGAATCTTCATGGCATTCAAAAGAGCTGTATTTACATTTTTGAGAATGGTCAATCAAAGGAATAGCTCAGTGAATAAAGCTATGAGGCTAATAAACAAGCTAACAAGTAATGGAACCTTTAAGCCCACCATTAAGTACTAAGCAAGCACTAAATCGACATAAAGATATTCGCCTCAAAAAGCAGTAAGTAATGGTCTATAAACCTCTACTACCTGTTAGCTTCATTAGCTGTGCAGCTTCAATGCAAAACTGAAGATGAATGTAATTTTTTCTTTACAGAGCCCACTTTCAATGTTTTTTCATGTAATTTTTTCCTAAGGTCCACTTACAATGAGTGCATTTGCATGCAATTAATAATCAGATAACTGCAGAAAATCAGATTTTGTCAGTAATCGCTTTTATGTGCACTTGAGTAATCAGATAATGGGAAAACTCTGGGTCTGCATGAGTCAGACAATAATCAGATTTCTGCTTTGCAACCGGCTAATACATTTGCAATAAGACAATACAACAAGACGTGATGTAAATGTAATGCAAAGCTCAAACTTCATGCCCTGGCTTTCTGTAAAAAACGTCACACCACTTTACCTGAAAATATGAACATACATGATCTAAAAGATGAAGAATATTTAAATCCTTAATTTCGTTAAGCATGTATTTGATTTCAGTGTCGCTCCAAAAGTGTTTTGCTGCGTCTGGCAGCACCGCTGCTGGCCTATTTCTAGTACTGCCGTCTGTTGCGCACATGTGCAGGCTGAGAAATACAAAAGAAATCTGGGTAAGGGTTTATGTGCACTGAGAAATCTGATTAAAGAGTTAAAGGAGCTCTCTTATCAGATTTCTTAATCAGATTTCTAGGCCTTACTCTGATCTAACAAATTAAAGTATGCTGTTTCCATGACCATTTCAATAATCAGACAACTGCAGAAATGCAATTCATTTTTACATGATTATTTTATAGCCATTCATCCTCAACAATCAATCTTTGACAAGCTATCTTTGTCACTATGCCTTGAACACTAACACATATGTAAATGATCTCTGTTCTGACTGGCTGCTCTGTATATAGTCCCATTCAACAAGCAATCTGGGTGGAAACATTCCTTAGAATTTCAGCATTAATGGGTGAGACTAAACTGCGGTAGGCTGAATAAGTAGATACATGTAATTATTTTCGTGACATCACCAATAGGCTGTTTCTGCAGCTCAGTTTCCTGGGCACTGGGAAGTGAATGGTACGCACTGCAATTTTAGTAATGTTTACATACTACATTAAATATTTTTGAATTTACAAGAATTGGGGAGCTGCTTTCACTATGTTGTCCAAATCTAAATAACTTGCCTCATACTCAAATAAAATGATACAGGCCAATGACCAATCTGATTCATTTTCACTCATCACCAAACACACATTTTCTAAGCTGCTTATCCTTATGGGTCACAGGGTGTGCTGGAGCCAGCGGTCATAGGGCAGAAGGCAGGAATCACCCTACATATATATACAATCACACACACACTCAAACCTAGGGACAATTTAGCATGTCCAATTGGCCTGACTGCATGTCTTTGGACTGTGGGAGGAAACTGGAATACCCTGAGGAAAGTGACACAGACAAGGGGAGAGCATGCAAACTCCACACAGAAAGGACCCTGGTCACCTGATGGGGAAACTAACCCAGGCCCTTCTTGCTGTGAGGCGACTACCCACTGCGCCACCATGCCACCCTCAACACCAGTAAAACTGAAAAAATTGCATGTCGAATTCCAGAAAGGTTTGGAAAAGATAAGTATTTTTGGCAATTCTAGCCTCTGATTTACCCATTCCTCCAGTAGAACAGTCATTCTGGCCTTCTCCACTGCCTCTATGAGCTCCCTCTCTGCTGCTTCCTGAATAAGCTGCTGATGTCTCTTCATGGCTCTTTTTCTCTCTTCCTCTGCCTGTTCCTCCTGTGTGGGGCCGTAGTTCATTGCCCCTCCCACTACCTCGATTATCTTCTCAATCACAGCCCTATTCCCAGTATCATCAATGTTGCTGATCTCTGGAAAAGAACACCCAGTCCCTGCTTGCATTAGGATTCCTTTAAATAAACCAAAGTATAGACACACTTCGGCTTCAGGACAGCTGTTAGAACTGTTGTCAGCTATGTGACGCGCTTTTGTCCATTTTTATAAATAACAGTGTGTCATCCAGTGTCAGAAACCACATAAGCAATGCTATCTGAGATCACTTAACAAACTGATGTGTTTGGAGGCAAATGTGCAATGAATTAGGCACCCAGCACAATGCTAAGTGGTCCATTACTATGTAGCTCAAGTGCAATACTAAAGAAGGAAACCTCATACACCAAACATGCCTTGGCTGATTGATTATACTTGGAGTAAGACAGCTAAGCTAATATTTTCTTGCAAAAGATAAACACATGGATAACTTCTGTCAGTCCAAAGTGATGTAGTGTCATTAACAGTCAACGTTATCTAAATCAGAAGTATATTTCTCCTTGCAATGGTCCCTGTATGTGCAGTGGTTAATATGCACACTGACACTCACCTATGTGCTCTGGATGGATCTCTAGCTCATCAAAATAGTTAAGCACTGTGTCATCCTCTGTGTTTGCCTCCCTGAATGTGGAGAGGCGCTGCAGAAACTCATCCTGAGTGTAGTGCATCTCCTCTGCTACACTCTGGGGGAGGTTCCGGACCCGCTCTTTCAGAAATTCATCAGTGGCGTCCAGTGAGAAGATGTACTCTGCAGAGAAAAAGACCAACAGACCTGCTGGTGAGAGTGCTAAAGCACACAGAGCCCAGCATCATCAGACAAAACATTACACAAATCTAGAAAATAACTAGGGATATACAACCCCATTTCCAAAAAAGTTGGGACGCTGTGCAAAATGTAAATAAAAACAAAATGCAATCATGTGCAAATCATTTAAACCCTATATTTAATTGAAAATCGTACAAAAACAACATGTCAAATGTTGAAATTGAGACATTTTATTGTTTTTTGAAAAATATATGCCCATTTTGAATTTGATGCCAGCAACACGTTCCAAAAAATGTTGGGATGAGGGCAACAAAAGGCTGTTAAAGTTGTGCAATGCTTAAAAAAAACACCTGGTGGTTAATTGGCAACAGGTCAGTAACATGATTTAGTATAAAAAAGCATCTCAGAGAGGCCAAGTCTTTCAGAAGTAAAGATGAGGAGGGGTTCACCACTCTGTGAAAGACTGCACAAGCAAATAGTGCAACAATTCAAGAATAATGTTTCTCAACGTAAAACAGCAAAGAACTTCTGCTTTTCATCATCTAAAGAACATAATACCATTAAAAGATTCAGAGAATCTGGAGAAATCTCTGTATGCAAGAGACAAGACCAAAAACCAGTATTTGCTGACCGTGATCTTTGAACCCTAAGGCAGCACTGCTTTAAAAACAGACCTGACTCTGTAGTGGAAATCACTCCATGGGCTAAGAAACACTTCTGAAAAACACTGTCTGTGAAAACATTTTGGTGCTGCATCCACAAATGCTAATTAAAACTCTTAAACACAAAAAAGAAAGCATATATAAACAGGATCCAGGAATGCTGCCACCTTCTCTGGGCCCAGGCTGATTTAAAATGAATTGAGGCGAAGTGGAAAAGTGTCCTGTGGTCTGACGAATCAACATTTGAATTTCTTTTTGGAAATCATGGACACTGCGTCCTCTGGGCTAAAGACCACTCAGCTTGTTATCAGTGCACAGTTCAAAAGCCAGTATTCATGATGGTATAGGGGTGCATTACTGCACATGGCATGGGTGACGTGCACATCTGTGAAGGCGACATTAATGCCAAATGATATATACGTTTTGGCAACATATGCTGCCATCCAGACAACATCTTTTTCAGGGAAGGCCTTAATTATTTCAGCAAGACAATGTCAAACCACATTCTGCATGTATTACAACAGCATTGCTCTGTATTAAAAGCGTCTGGGTGCTAAACTGACCTGCCTGCAGTCCAGACCTGTCACCACTGAAAACATTTGGCACATTATTAAATGAAAAATACGACAAAGGAGACCCCAAAATGTTGCACTGCTGAAATCCTACATCAATGGGAAAACATTTCACTTTCAAAACTACAGCAGTCGGTATCCTTAGTTCCCAAACACTTACAGAGTGTTAATAAAAGAAGAGGTAATGAAATACAGTGGTAAACATGCCCCTGTCTCAACTTTTTTGGAATGTGTTGTTGGCATTAAATTCAAAATGGGCATACATTTTTTCAAAAAACAATAAAATTTCTCAGTTTCAACATTTGATTTGTTGTCTTTGTACTATTTAGGGTTTAAAATGATGTGCACATCAGTGAATTTCGTTTTTATTTACATTTTGCATAGTTTGCAAACGTTTGGGTGACGCAGAATGTTTAGCTGACGCTGAGCTATTGCCCTAAAATACCTGGATTTTATTCATCTACCTGGATTTGAAACGCTTTACCTACAGAATTGTAATGCTAATTCAGGTGGATTTAGTCCCAATTTCTACATTTTATAAAAAGTTTATGAGCTGCCATCGATGGATATGTACATGAAAAATATCGGATATCAAACGTCAGTCTAGAATTCTGGAACTGTCAAGGAAAATACTTGGTGAGCATATTTAACCCCTATAAAGCTTGAGCTGCAGGCTTATTATTCAGTTATTAATCCTAAAATGTACGGTTCAGTAACTACTATGAATTATTCAATAACTACCATGCAACTAAATTTGTAGGTTCTGTAGTTATGAAAGTGATGAAGGAAGGCAATGTATCAGACATCAGCCATTACATTTCATGTAATAACTTTCTGTGAGGGAGCTTTTAGAGACATTAAACTGTTTGGACGTCTGGTTCCTATCACTACCACTGTGAACAATACTAAGTTAGCAAGTTTCTCTATAATAGAGCCTTTCATTCCAAACCACTCTGAATGACTTTGTTTAAACCTTAACCATTTAATTGTGCAGACTTTTTGAAAATTCAGTGGAGTTTCCCTTTAAACAGCTATTATGGTTAGCCAGTTAGTTAAGCCAACTTATTTTTGAGAAACTTGTCTGATGTCATGGCAAAAAACTACCAAAGTTGCATGAAGTCAATCAGGATTTAATTTTCAACCATCTAATAAACCCACCTTCTGTTTCATTTTCTTGTCCGTCAGTCCGGTAAAATCAAACATTTGATTGGATCATGTGATGTGTTATCAGCATTTTGATTGGCTGTTTCACAAAACTTTTCATGTAAAAAGCAATTAGTTTCATATAGGTTACAAGCAACTTAAGCTGCATGACAGTTTAGGGTTTATGAGTTAATAAATCAGTGAAACATTCATGTTTTATAAACACTCCAAATGTAAAACTTCAGCATTACTATTTATTATAATTTACCTGGGATTATCTTTTTGTTGTGTGGCAGAAGTTTGGATCGGGGGTCCTTTTCCATATCTTCATCTAAGACACATTTGAAAAGTTAAAAATGAAAAAAAAAAATCTATGAAATGTATTAGAGAAATCCTTTCCTGCTTTCTCATGCTGACTTATAGGTGATATTAGAGTGGCTCACCAAAGAAGAGTTCTTTAGCTTGCTCGTATGTAGTGGGGTAGCCGTCCAAAACAAACCCTTGATTTCTGCAAGGTTTTGAGTTGAGCTTCTCTCTGATGATTCGCAAAACATTCTCGTCATCCAGCTGGTCTGTATGAACACAAATGCACACACACACACATACACACACACACACACACACACACACACACATAAGCAAATCTGCTGAATTTAATATCATGCATTGATGTGCTGAATTATCTCTCGCAATTACTGTACAACACATTTGCAAACAGATGGTACAAAGTCTGAAAGTATTAAAGGGCCCATATCATGAAAAAATAAAGGAGTTTGAAGTAACATGTAAACACCGTCAAACTTTCATAACATACCATTCACTCTCCAGTCTATACAGCCCATATTTGGAAACTAAGCTGCAAAAACAGCCCATTTTCAGTTCACTGTTTCTGTGATGTCGAAGGAACCAACTCATTTACATATATCCATCTATTTAGCCCCACCCATTCATACTGAAGCTCTTTGGAGTATTTCAGCTCTGAGTGTTTCATGAATGAGGTCCAAAACACGATAGCCAATCAGAACAGAACTCATTTACATATATAAGTCTTAAAGGCACAGTAACAAAACCATCCTGTTTAATTCTAAGGGATAAAGACAGGCTGAAAAATAGTCATGTAGAAATGAATTCCGACCATTTTTGGTATATAAAACCACATAAATGTTTTAAGTGCACCTCTAGGGAAAAAATAACGCATAAGAAAAACGTAGGACATGGGCCCTCCTTTAAAACATTCTTAAAAGAATAGAAAGGAAAACATACCTCCTCTCTGAGACAGACTGTCCTTCAGAGAGTCCAGTAGCTCCTGAGCCTCCTTCAGTGCTTCATCATTCTCATTTTCTCCATCACTCTGCTGAAGCATTTCCTCCTAATATAAAACATTACACACATATAACCTATATAATACCTTAAAACATGAACCAAGTTGATCTACTATTTAATGTACAAACAATACGAATCTGAATAATTTTAAGATCAAATTTAAGATCACACTGACCAGATGTTTTATTTTTTCCTCAGTGGCCTCCTTGACTCTAATATGATGGAGTTTATAATGGTTACACAGACGTGCTGCCACTGAAGTCTTCCCAACAGCGGGGGGGCCGAGGAGACAGATCTTGATCGGCTAGAAAAAAGTAAGTTAAAACAATGAATACTGTTTCATTTTCTTAATTAGACATTAACGTTTAGGACTTCAAAAATGTGATCCAATTCTTTGGAAAATGACAATGCATCATAAAAATCTCACATTTCACCCTGATTCAGTTCCATTTGATTATTTTGTCACAATTCAGAATTATTTTTCACAATACTGAGTACCTAAATGTGACTGGAGGAGCTGTTTACACCGTAGTGGGACACAGACAATAAATAATACAATACAATCTCTTTTATTTTTTACATCTGAAAGAGGATGTTCTCTGTAGAGGAAGTCTTAACTTATTTTCAATTAGACAACCAACAAAACATGAAATTTAACCAGGGGTGTTCACACTTTTGCATACAACTGTAATCTAACCAGGGGCACACAAATATTTCCATTGATATCTACTTGTAACTGATTCTAATCATCACTTACAGATCGATGCAGTTGCAATTGTACAACTGTTACTTAACTGTTAGTGAAGATGCTGTGGTCAAACTGCTACTTTGCACTAGTTTATGTGGTCATACTCACCAGAAGCCGTCTTGTCTGTTTGTACTCCTCCACAACACAGTCAATGTTCTCTACGATTCCAGATTCACACACCCAGCGCAGATTAAACATGTCTCTCAGCAAAACTGGTTCAATCCGGAGGTTCAGGCTTAGCTGATCTAAATCAGTTTGCTGGGGAAATATATAATTCAAATTGATCAAATAGTTTCATTTTCACAAATCCATGTTTATGTGCGTAAAACCTTGTTCATACAACCTACAGAAAGCCTAATAATTAATAAACAAAGTGTTGCTATGTCAAAACAGGCTCACTGTAAGTTCCTGAGTGAGGTGTGCATCTTCTCTGGAGACTTTATTGACCTCTTCAGGACCCAGCACATATGAAATGGCCTGGGGGATAATGCAGTCAAGATGAATTAGACACAAAAGACTTTAAAGCTATTACCTTGAAGGACCCATGTTCTACATTTTTCTTGTAATTTATAGACATTGCTGACATGCACTTATATGTGTTTTTATTAACTAAAAAAAACAGTTACTCATTTTTACATATTTCAAGCTCTCTTTATTTGTTAGAATTAATCAGACTGTTTTTCTTACTGTGCCTTTAAAACTGATATATGTAAATGATCTCTGTTCTGATTGATTGTATTAATTTTATTACTGATTGTATTGTTCCTCACTCAAAAAGCAGACCAGGCTGAAAAACTCCTTATAGCTTCAAAGTGAGTAGGTGTGGCTAAACTGCTGCAGGCTGTATGTAAACAGGCATTGTTTGTGACATCACAAAAATACCACATTCAAAATGGGCTGTTTTTTAATGCAGTTTTCACATATGAATTCTGTGGACTGGAGACTGAACCCTACATTCTTGGAGAGTTTACATATGACATGAACCAGAAAAACAGTTTTCCATGAAAAGGGTTCTTTAAGAAGAACATGTGTAGAGTTGTTACCTTCACAATATCCTCAAGTGTGTTCTTGGAGTCGTCCACAGCAATGAAATAGTGTGCTTTGGGTTTCTGATCGATGATGTTTTGTACTACGCTGGAAAACCAGATTGTAGAGTCCATTTAAAATAAAAACAAATAAAAGAAGTACCTGAAATAACCTCAGTGGCAATTAATTAATTATACATGTCAGTTTTACTAACCAAGCCAGATCGTAGACGTGGATGGCAGGAATGATGTTCGTGCCGGACCCAAAAACAGGGATGCTGTTCAACTCTCCAAGCCAGGATGCCTGAGTCAGCGTTAAGAAGCAAAACCATTAAAAAGACCAATGTTTATTTATATCAGTACAGTCCGAACAGCATCAACTACTGTAACATAGATGCCATCAATTTGATATATAGTACTGGTGTGAGACAGATAGCAGCAGAAAATGCTGATCAGATATCAGAAGGAAAAAAGGAACAAATCTGATCTGATCCTGTAACAAATCCAGCCTAAATTTTCACAGAATTGCTCATAGCACAACATAACATAAACAAAACAAAAGTAGCCACAAGTAGGCTAACATTAATATAAAAAGGCAAGGCAAGTTTATTTTATATAGCACCTTTCATACACAGTTGTCATTCAAAGTGATTTGCAAATGAGAAAATAGAGTTGTTTAAAAAAATGAGAATAGATATTAAAAACATGATTAAAACATGATTAAAACTATAGCTTTAAAAGAGAAAATCATTAAACTAAAAATCAAATTAGAAATTAAATTAGTTAAAAAAAATAATTAAAAATTAGAAGTTAGATTAGGATTAAATAAAAAGTGCTGTTAGAAGAAAAAGGGCTAGAAAAGCTAACAGTGTTTTAAACTGAGCTGAAAGCTGCTCAAACTGGAATGTTTCTAGCCAGGATTTAAAAGTGTCCAGTGTCGGGCTCTTCTAATGCTCTCTGTCAACTGGTTCCTTTAAAGAGAAGCATAGTAGCTAAACGGTGCTACTCTATGTTTAGTTTTACTAACTGACCAGGTCCTAATGATCTGAGAGTGCTGCTCAGCTCATATCTCCGCAACATGCACCAGTGAATGATTTATAGACCAGTAATAGTATCTTAAAGTCTATTCTGTAACAGACTGGTTAGCCAGTGTAAGGATTTGAGAATGGGGGTGATGTGTTCCCTTCTTTTAGTGAGACTTCTCTTAGTCAGACTCTGGCAGCTGTATATTGAATCAGCTGAAGCTGTTTGTCTTTTTGGGAGTCCAGTTAGGAGACCATTACAGTAATGTAATCAATTCTTCAGTACCTTGAAGAAAAAGTGGAAAACACCCTCGCCCATCCCGTACTGCAGCCCTGCAGCCACAACATAAGTGGAGAGCTTGGACTTTTTCTGAAAGAGAAGGTTGGTTAGGGTAAAAACAAAGAAATTGTGAAACTGTTTTATTAAAAATGAATTAATTTTTAGTTTTTCCCAACTTCAACACAAGTTTCTCCGCACTGGCTTGTTCTTTGAAGCTTGGATGTGGTCTTTTTCGTCTGAAGTCGTCTTCGATCAGAGGAATTTCAGGATCATCCTAAGAAATAAAATAATGAACATTCATACTGTGGAATTATGTAATGTGAAGACTTTTGTTAGATGGTGAAGGCGTGCATGATCTTATGATGTATGAAAGATATTTCATGTTTACGTGCAATATGTCTGTAATACTGCAACGTCCTTTTGGGATCAAGTAAGTAAGTAAGTTAGGTAGTTAGTAAGTAAGTAAATAAGTAAGTTAGTGTGTTTGTTCATTCGTTCGTTCAGCAAATAAACACTAATTGTGCATTAAAATGTGCAGAAGTGTGTTAACTTATTTTCACTTAAAAAATCAATAAAAAGGGTGGTGCCCAAACTTGTGCATACGACTTTATACTTGTGATTTCTTCTTTGTATAAATAAAGCAATTAAGTAATGCAGAATGCAATCTGTAATGACTATTCCTTTGACAAATGTGTATGTAATGAACGAATGATGTGATAGGGACGACACTCACAGGATCAGCCGGTTTAGTCATCGCCCATGACATCAGTGTTGACACCAAAACGAACATTTTGGGAGATCTAAAGTGCTCCATTTCACTGTGGAGGGCTGCAATGAGAAAATAAAACATTCAGTAATGCATGAAATAAGACACACCCATGCTTGGCTACATTCATGTGTAGCCGTCACCTGAAACGGCCCATGTTGCTTCATCAGTCACTTCAGCATCCTCCGAGATGTTATACACAATAACATCACACTCCATCAGACGCTGTAGGAGCTCATCTCGGCTTAATGCCTGAAAGGAGGTAGAAGAAGTGATAGTGTGAGTTCAGGTAAAGTGGGAGATAATGGGAAACCTAAGCTCAGCAGCACTGAACTTGCTTTTGTCAGCAAACACAACAAATGCTACTAATGTTGCTGCTCCAGAGGTGGGTAGAGTAGCCTAAACCCATACTCAGGTACAAGTATTGTTACTTTTATTCTGGAATAATGACTCAAACAGTCAAAAGTAGCTGCTCAAAAAATGTACTAAAGTACTGTGTAACTGAGAGCTACAGTGGAACTTGTTTGTGCATCCAGCATCTATCAGTAAAGGGACTCAAGTTCAGCTCTTTTCTCCCCTCTTTGGATCCTTTTCGTAGTAGTAGTACTTGGGCCTCAAAACCAAAATACACTGCTGATCTGCTTGAGGTATACAAACCCAATAGGCATCTTCAATCACTAGGGACCGGTCAGCAGTGCCCGGAATCAGAACGAAACAAGGTGAGGCAAAATTCAGTCATTATGCTGCCAGCTGCTGTAACAAACTCCCAGATGAGGTCAGATACGCTCCAAATGCAGCCATCTTTAAGTCCTGTTTAAAGACATTCTTGTTTTCTTGCACTGCACTTTATTTTAGCACTATTTTAATTTCTTATAATCTCTCATTTTATTTTCTATTTTATTGGCTTTTATCTTTAGCGCCTTAATTTACTTTCTTCGTAACTATATTTGCAAATGCCTTGCCGAGGTGAAAGATCTCAGGCTGCCATAAGCTTTATTATTTAATATTATTTAAAGGTTTTTTCTGTTTGCGTGAAACAGTTTGAATTTACGCTGCGTATGAAAAGTGCTATACAAATAAACTTGCCTTGCCTAGGTAAATGCTATCACCAGTGCAACATAATAAAATTAAATACAAAAAAGAATTTAGTAATGAAATGCTAACGACTAAAATAAAAAGTAGATCAATTTCCCTGCTTTCAAGGCAGATAACTTTGGCAAAAAATGTAAACAGATAATTACAGTTTATTATTTATCTTTTTACTCACTGTATGTTTACAGACCTCTTGAAATACTGGATAGAACGTCTATTTAAATATAATTTGGTGAATAGTTTTTGACATTTAAATCCACAATGTATAAGTGAACATAAAATAAGATGTGGCAAGTGATTCAAAACTGAACAGTAGTGTATGTTGCTGTATGTGTGCTGAAAATAATACATGTTGCATACAAGTTTCTGTATGTGTACTGAATATGAATAAATGTGGCTTCTAATTTCTAAATAATTCAGTCCTTGTGGTGTAAACAAAATCATTCAGAGTGGTTTGGTGTGAAATGGTTCACTGTAGAGAAACTTAGAGACTCTGATTTTATTTACTATCAAAAACCAAAAGTGAACCTACTTGCATCTTCTGAGTTTTTATACGTAATGTTGCTGACAGTAAAAAAGTCATAAACCTGAAAAAATACGTTTTCTTTGGGGACTATTTTGCCTTACATGTATTCATCCGCCATAAACGGATTAAAATACATATAAAGCCAAACTTTTTATCATAAAACTATGGCAAAACAATGTCGGCATATTACTAACCATTTCATGTAATAACTTTCGGAGAAGGTGCTTTTAGAGGTGGACGTCTGGTTCCTATCACCACCACTGTTAACAATTCTGACTCGGCAAGTTTCTGTAGAACGGAGCTTTTCACATCAAACCACTTTGAATGACTTCGCATCTCAACCCTTTAAATATGTAGTATTTTCAAAAAACCGGTGAAGTTCCCCTGCTCATAGGGTTATCATCACTTGTCTGAGCTTAACCATGTCTTCCGGAGGGGGAGCTTTTCCTGCGAAAAGGGTAAAAAAAACACCCAAACAAACAAAACAAAAAACAACTTACCGAGTATTCTTCCACCGCAAAGCTTTTCACTTTCTCATTTTTATTTCTAACTGTTCCAACGATCTGAAATCGGTCGTCTTGTACATTATTGTCTTTTCTGGAAACTTTATCCTCCTCTTCCTCTCCTTCATCCTCCTCCAGAGACGCTCCGACAGCACAGGTGGATAGATACTGACAAACACACAGCGGAAAAATAATCACCCAAACGACACCTAGCCATATGTTTAATAGGTAAACTGTACGATATCTTACCTTAGCGATGTATTTTGATGAGTATGAATCTATATTGTTGATAAAAATCCGTTTAGAGAGCTGAAACTCCTTCGCCATGTTTCCCCCCGTTGCTAGGCGAAATGGTCTCGTCCGCTCGGTTGCTAAGCGAAACAAACTCAGGCGTTCATTAAATTAGTTTTAAAGGGAAATTTGACCAACTGTTCAAAATTAGTACATAATTAAATGGTTAATATACAAACAACGTCAGTCAGAGTGGTTTGGTGTGAAATGTTCCGTTCTAGAAAAACGTATTGAGAATTTTTCACAATGGTGGTGATAGAAACCAGACGTCTCAAGAGTTTAATATGCCTTTGGTAGCTCCCTTTTACATGAAAGGGCTATGAATGCACCGCCAGATGCCTGGGGTTTAATACAGTTTTAAAAATATATTAAAGGCTTATTTAAAAATCCATTCATAGCTGAGAGCTACACACATGGCGTTATAAGGAAAAATAGTATCCAAAGATAGATTTTTTCCCCATTTCTTTCTCAAATTTACTACAAATTTACATTTAACAACACTACTTCTAAGACCTTAGAGGATTTGTGAAGGTTTTGGATGGTAAATAAAATGGCTACATAGAGGGATGGGCTTGATACTTGGTATTGTGGTATTTTCAAGATATGATACGTAGCACAATATTTTTTTTTTTTTCTGAGATTTGATAAGTTGGACCAGAAAAACAAAACAGAACCAGTAGAGCCACATTAAATTAAAATTAAAATATTATGAAAAACTATGCATACATTGATTTTTATTGTTTCACACATTCTCTTGTACTAAATAAAGTTAAACAGGACAAATTATGTGAAGAAATATGCAGCCAGTCAGTATTTTTAAAGTACTGAGGATATCCACGACATGCTGGGAAAACCATATTGTGTCGTAATGCATCATGTCGATGATTAAATATCATCATATTGCCCACCCCTAGCTATATTTGTGTCATAGCTATCGCAAGCCCTAGTTCCTATCACCACTGTGAAAAAGACATCGTTCATATCAAAACAAAAAAACCCTTTAATTCAGATTCTAAAAGTTTTGGTGTAAATAGTAAATACAATTAAAACATTTTCTGAATCATGAGATTTTTATTACATAATGTTTATAATCCCTTATACAAAATATACATTCATATGTTTATTGAGCTTGAAAATCAAGAATTACACACACAAACACACATACACACGTGTACGCACACACAAAGATACATTCATTCATTCATTCATTCATTCAAAATCCTGTAAACATTGATTTGGCATTTGCTTTCAAATTTACAGCAGGTATAAAAATCATTACAGTGTTATGATGTTCAAATGATGTTCAGATGTGTTTGTATTTAGAAGTAGCTGGTGATCAGTCCGCATTCACCACAAAGTTATCAAACTGTGCAAATTCAAAGGAGTGAGTCCCTATAGCAGCCCAGCCATTCTTTGGTTGATGTATTACAACATTCTTCCATAGAGAATGACTATTCAGCATCCCGAAGGCATGATCACCCTGTTTGAACACAGAATAGGGAGAAGATTGAAGAGGGAATATCAATGAATAAATAAAAAAGAAAAAAATAACAAATAAAAAGACACATTCAGGAAAAAAGAACAAATTATATAATAGTCTTTACAGAAAATTTAAACTGAATTACAATATAAGCCTAACGAACAAACAATACAAACCTAATGAACAAACAAACCAAGGACAAAGTAATAAGACCACTGAACAATATGACAATCTAAAGCAATATTTAAAAATACTAGGTGCTAGCAAGTATCATGTCTTCTAGGAGAGAATTACAGAGCTTAAGGACTTCTCTACCCTTCATCTGGGTTTTTGGGATGACCTTGATGACCTGAGTGAGCTAGGTGGAACATATCTAACAATCATTCATCAAGTTATAATAAAATGATTAAATCAACACTGAAAAATACAGTTTGCCAATCTGGGGGATATAAAAGCCAGTGTAGTGTGTGGTGCTTCGTAGGATTCCAGAATTGTTGTAAATTTGTAATAGAGCTCTTGGGTGGGCCAGATAAGCAGTTTAGTTTACACAAACACTCTACATTACTCACTAGACACTGTTCCTACTGCTACAGACATTAAGATATTACAGAGCTTATAGTAAGCAGTTTTGCAGACTCTACATATTCAGTTCTTTAAACTAACTCCCAGATTCTTGAAGCAATTCTGGTCTTCACAGACAAGAAGTTTAAATATAACACAGTCCTTTCTCTACATTTAATTTCTAATCTCTGCTTCATCTTTGTTCAGTTGCAGAAAAGTATGTGACATCCACAAGTTTGTCATGTATGCAGTCAAACAAGGAGCACAAGTGAGCATCATGTGCTGTGGACAGATACAGTTTAACATTATCTGCATATTAATGAAAGCAAATGGTGCATTTATTAATTACTGCAGCTACTGGAAGTATAAATACTTTAAATAATAAAGGGCCCAGAACTGAACCTTGGGGAACTCCACCACATAACACTTAAAAATATTGGTACCTTGTACAACACATTATTCAGAATATCCTGGAAACCAATTCCCCGAATTCATCTAGAGAACCTGTGCTTTGTGTATGTGGGTGATAACTGAATAGATCATTTTTAATATGCATTGTGATTAGGTGTTGAATTATATAGTCCCAGAGAAAAATGTAACAGTTTAAAATACAGTTGCGGTCTTATTAAAATAAAACTATTACCTTTACAGTGAGAGTTAATGTGTGCCAAACACCTGGTCTTGTCCCTGATAATCCTTCAGCAAGAACTTTCTGTCCACCTTAAACAAGAAGATATCATGCTCAGTCCAGTTTCAGGTTATTATAACGCACTGAGATCTGGGTTTATGCAACTGTTTGTAAGAAATCAGTGAGAAGGAAGTGGCTACTCACCTATGTCATTGGTCACTTTGTATGTGCCGTTTCCAAATACCCAGTAAAAGACACCCATGGCTTTCCTCACTGATTCTCCTGCTTGATCCACCCTAGCTGCAAGGAAAACACCTCCATTCACAGTCTCAATATAGATGTCACATGACACGGTCAGGTTTTGCCTGATGAAAGAGAAAGCACTGAATCAGTCCCACCAAATGGGAGCAAATAACTAAAGTCCAAAATGCACGTGTCCAACTGCACAGCTTGTATAATCTCAATTTGTGATCCATAAATAAATCACCCAACATCAATACTAATGCTTCTGTTGCTGCAATCAAATCCTCACAGCAATGTTCCAACATCTAGTGTAAAGGGGACAAACTACCACCTCGATTTTAGAAGAAAAGCAGGTGTCTACAAACTTTTGGACATATAGTATGTATAACAAAAAATTTGGTTATTATGAGAAAAATATGAAAGTCACAAAATCACATCACTCCATGCTTAAACATAATGGCTCATGAATAAATGCTTCACTTAGAGGCTGTGATGAACCCACCAACTGTGGTCTCCTATAACACTGATGGTCTGGTCGGCATCATCAGCCCATGTAACTGGCCGCTGGCTGACGACCTGGCGTAAGGTGAAGACGTGCGGTCCTGGATCTGTGAGGTTTGTGAAGTATTCAAAGACTCCAGTTTGATCAGCAAAATACGGAGCCTCTGAGAAGGGAGGGTTACCTGAGCAGACGAGGAAGATGATGAGGAAGGATGTACAATAGGGGTGTCAATCTCTGACTTTGCAATGATTAAATTGTGATTGTTTAAGAAACAATTCAGTACATTGTGAAATTTAAAATTTTATCATACGATTTGATTACATTTACTTATTTTTGTATGATCAAGAATTATACACTTAATGAACAAATGTGACTGGAGGAACTATCCAGACAAGATGTTCCCAACTTTTGTTATTATATATTTTGCTGATTTTCTAAGTGAATGGTAGTAAACACAGCTCCTATACAGAGAAAACACTTTTATTCACATTTTGATTCACTATTTCTGTTTATTTGCTGAATTTAACATATTGGGAAAAAAAAGAAAACATAAAATGTGGCCTGTGCAAAAAGTTTACATTTTATGTTTTATTTTTTCCATAACGTTAAACTAAATAGAAGTCATGCACTAAAATTTGCAGAAAATGTCAGATTTACGTTTGTTCCCTGTAGAGGACACCTTGAATTTATTTTCAATCAGAAAGTCACCAAAACATAAAATTTTACCAGGGATGTTCAAACTTTTGTATATGACTGTAGCTAGCAGGTGGGAATTGGTAATAACTAAACTGAGGAGAAAAACTGGGCAATTCTTTTGGCCAAAAAAAGAGCAGTTTATTAAATATTACTGTAATTACTTACTTACAACTAGTAATTACTTATAATCAATTGTAACCCAATCAATCCCATATTCTACCATGAATTAAATGAGTACAGAGCAGAGAAACTGCAAAGAAACTTACGGACATCAAAGTCATCAAAATATTTCTTAGGGAACGGTGCAGAAACGGGGGGATCAGGGTACTGGCCTTTTTGTCCACTGAACACCGTTGTGATTGTGTAAACTTCATCAACACCCAATTTCAAGCTAAAATATCCATCTTGGACCTGTTCAGCATGATGATCATATAACATCATTAAATTAATTTACGATATTTCAGGTATGAAGAATGCAAACATATTTTATATTATTTTGTAATATTTTGTTATTTTTACTTTACGATATTAGTCATCTTCACCTTAATTGGATCAGTGTGCTTGAAGAGTACATCTTTTTTGGTCTCAAAATCAAATTTCGAGTGCCACTGTTGGAGCTCAGTGAGCGCAGCCTAAAAAAAGACATCATGTACAACATCTAATTATACCTTCTAGTTACCAAACAGCTGTCTGGCAATATTAAAAAGAGACGCCGCACTTACAAAGGAACCTTTGAGCTGGAAAGTTGCTGTCTGAGGCGAAACGCTGTAAGGCGGGAGCGGAGGCCGTATGCATTGAGAGTGATTGTGGGTCTGCAGAAAAAGGAAGGAACGAGCAAAAACTGTAAATGATTCACTCTAACTTGTGACTTCTCACGGGACAAAGCAAAAAGAAACAACACCCACCATAGTTTCGATGATAACTGTGAGGTTGCCTTTGCCGTC